AAAATTGTTCCATATTCTCTAGAACATCCTTCTGGAAATTATCTGGGTGAAATGTTCAAGAACCTTGAAAAAATGATTTCCTTCCTTTTAGGCTTCCACCTGATAGGAAGTAAATGTTCCCTATCATTAAACTAAAGGGGAACTTACTTGTGGTTGCAGCTGCTGTTGTACGTTTAATGCCACCAGGGTCAGTGGGAGGGTCTGGGCAGCAGGTGCCATTCCTGCAGCAGGATTTAGCTGTAGGACAAATAAGATTTTTATTGTGATGTTTCACTTTAAACATTCAGGAAACTAAAATGTATTTACTAAATTTAAAATATGTTTAACAGAGATTTTGCTTTGCAAATATATAGAATTAAATATAGAGATGAAGTTCAAAGACTTGTTTAGTCTACTAGTACAACCATACGGTCTGACTAACTTTTTCCATATTAAATGTTTTGTTGACATTTAACCTAGTCTCTTTGAGAATTACTTAGATGATTTTATCCTGGCTTTTCTTTTTTGGTTATAACAGCCACGATTCCTGGAATATTCCTGATAGCTTTCTTGGGAAGTGATGATTTCCTCCATAGGTATCCCCATGAAGATTGTAAAGGTCAGAATAAAATATCTAGTCTGCATGTAGTCAAATACTATATAAAAATTTGACCACTGGAAAAAAGTCTGCTTTAATCAGGAAAGGAACTTAAACTATACATAGTTTAAGGAACTATATAGGTATTTTATGAGAAAAATGAAACTATCCTTTCTGGTTTGCTCTTTTCCTTGGGGTGTAGATAGTAGTCATAGTGTTTGTGTGGGTGTGTGGATGTTGTAGGAGGCAGCAAGGATGGTGTGGTGAAGGAATGGGCAGAGGAGTTTGAAGAAGAGGTAAGATCAACTGAAAAAGTAAAGACTTGAGAATTATGTTTGTTCTTTTAGAGTCTCTTGCTAAGAAATACTTTTCATGATGTTCTGAATTAGCATCCAGTTCTCTGACTTTTCTCTGTCTTCTCTTTCAGCTTATCTACAGTGAATATGTGTGCATGTGTACATTGGCGGACACATGCACTCAACATTAGGTATTATATTTATTTAACAATGAATACTAAAATGATACAAAAGAGCACTTACCAGTTGCAGATCTGACCCCAGTGTGAGCATCTGTGTCAATGGTATTACACCCAAAGAAGGGAAGACCTGCATGACATTGGAATTGCTGCATGAGATGAGAAGTTGTCTGTTCTCACTATGCTGTCCATGGTGGATAGCCTTAAGCAACTTATACTCCCATCAGAGGTGGATTTGTCAAGAAGGTAAATAAAAGTGAAGCTTCAGGGCCTCTCACTAGCATGGCTTCGGGAGGCACCCTAGCAATGTGTCCAGTTTACGGTTTTTATCAGCTTAAAAATATATACTTCTTATTTCTTATTATGAATTATTCACTTTGGGACTTAATTTTACATATTTAATTTTGTATTCTTTTTCTTAAAGAATGTCCCCAAGTTGTATAAGTTTCAGGTTTCCTAAGGAAAAAGATTGGCTCTTGTCTTGAAAGTTCCATAATGTCCATAGATTAAAAAAAATCTTTAGACTCTGGTGTTATATGATCGTACTATTTCACAAAGTCCAGATGAAGGTATGGTGAGGTCCTTTAGGGCTGAGGAAAGGTTGGAGTGAAAAAAAGGTGGTAGCCAAGAGACAATATAGTTTTCAAAATATTTAAATATGCTTTAAAGAAACAGGCTTTATAGTGACACATTAGCTCATTAACAATGGAACTTAAGAAAACCATGAGGAAATCTGCAGTTATTTTTATAGGTTACCTCTCAATCTCTGATAACTTTAGCAAATACTACGTATGACATGTCACAGTATTTCAAGGGTGTAGCTAATCAAGTTTTGTCAACAAGTGTTGCTATTGTTTTTCAGTTTATTAGATTTGGTTGCTAAATCAAATTATTATTCAGGTAAAAGGAAAAAGAATAAAGATGTTTGTTTTCCTAAATTTTCAGAAAAGTATATTGGTTCTTGTTTTACTTTTCTCCCAAAAGAAAATCTCTTGATTAGTCATGAGACTCTGTGTAAAATCTTGATTTTAAATCCACTGGTTTTAACCTGTTTCCTTTGCTGGTCTGTAAATGTTCCCTATTGGAGGACTCTTACCTGATTTGGCTGCTGTTGGTTTAGTAGGGTTGCCTGATCTGGAACCAGCTTTGTTGGAGGAAGTCTCAAAGCAGGGTTAAGCTGAATCTGTGATAACAAATATTTGATGAGGTAGGAATGTGTTTGAGGATTTGTATCCATTTATTTCCAGGAGATAACAACTTGTCCGAAATGCAAAAAAGGTCTGTCTTTAGACTGTGTGTTTTAGAGCAGTTTCAATTTCCCGGAATATTTTCTGTAAGGTAGAAGATGGAATTGTAGAATAGAAAATTGCCAGCCCAGTGAGTGTGTGGTGGGGAGGAAAACAGTGTGAGGCAGGGCACCTGAATTTCTGGAGGTAGTTCTTTAGCTCTCATTTCTTCTCTGTAATGGCCTTCTTCTTTTTTCAGGGCATGAAATACATAGCCTGTATTTTAACTCTGTACACATTTGCTTTTTCCCACTGCCTGAAGGTATGCTTTCACAACTCCTACTCCATTCTCATAAAACTTTCTGCTTCTGTCTCATGCCTAACTAGTCACTTCCCATAATGGAAATTCAGTCCTTTTCCCAGCCAGAGTATTTTCCCAGTGTATTAAGAATTACCGAATTTAAGGGGTGAAAATGTGCTTATAATCATATGATATATCTGTGTGGTTTTGTTTAAATATGAGGAAACTGAGGTCCAGACAAAGTGACCTGTCTAGGTGACACGGTGAGTCATATGCTAGGATCCTGTGGCAGAGCCAGTACTAAGATCCTGCAAGTACTCTTGGTCTTTTAGGAATGAATCCTTCCCTTAGCTTCTCTCAGCATTCTCTCTGCATTCAGGTGGAAGCTCCCCGGTCAGGTTGACCCCAGTCAGCCTTTGCTCCTGGCTATGTCACAGAAGACAGTATGCTGTGGCCCTCCAGCACTGCCTGTGCCCTTGGGCCACTTGGATATTCCTTGCAGCTGTCCCCGACTCTTGGTTTTACTTTGGACTTTTCCCCTTAGTTGTAAGAGATAAGATTGGCATTATCTGTCCTTAGAAGTCCCTTTAAGCTTTAAGATAATATAAGTGTAAATCCAGCAAATTTCTTTTCCTCCTTTACAATCTATTGTCAGCATGGCAGCCAGAGTGGTCTTTTGAAAACAATGGTGTGGTCATTCTACTCCTCTCCTCAAGTCCTGCATTGACTTTCATTTTAACTCAGGGTAAAAGCCAGAAATCCTGCAATGGCCTAAAAGGCCCTCATGCCCTGGGCCCCCGTCTCATCTCATTTACTCTCACTCACTCTACTACTACCTTCCAGGCTTCTTGCTGTCTCTGTGACAAGTAAGGCCCACTCGACCTCAGAGCCTCACCTCTTTCCCCAGACATTGGCTCACTTCCTCACCTGCTTCAAGTCTTTGTTTACATTCACCTTATTGAGGCCCACCCTGACCACTCTCCTGAAATGCAACCTGCTCCATCTCTAAAGTGCACCCTATTCCTAAACTTTTGATCTACTAAAAACAATTGCTAGGCTGTTTTAAGTGTCTACATTTGCAAATCGACTCATTTTTTATGCCTTTATAATAATTGAATAAATTCATTTACTACTAATAAAAAAATACCTTGTCCATGTGTCTAGATTTTTCATTTAATAAATATCACTACTATACCTAATAGACATTTAGTGTCTCCTCCTGTATCCCCTGCACCACATTATAGCTGCTTTCACGGAATTGGCTATTAGCAATCTGTATTAACCTACACGCTACTCCTCAGTTTACCTTGAATGATAGCTGTATTTCTGGAAAGTTTTATTTATCTTGAGTTTTTACAAATTGTATAGTAACTTAAATACACTGGAGACACGCTATTTAGGAGAACCTTTTGGTAAATTTATTTGGTGGAATGGTAAATCATAATTTATAAAAAAATTAACTTCCTAATTTACCTTGTTTGGAAGTTAAGTTTTTGTAGATAACTTCTTTCAAGAAGGACATATGTATATTTGGAATGAAGCAAGAAGGATTTTGTTTGTTCATGTGTGTGTTCCATCCCCTTTCTACAAGATCGCCCTGTTCATCTTCTTCATAGAACTAATCACAGTTATAATTTATCACTAAACACTTCTTTTGAAAAATTATTTATTAGTATCTTCTGTCCTAGTGAACACCACGAAGGATCAGGCTTTTTTCCCCTCTCATCATTGTATATTTAGCAACTAACACAGTATCTGGTTTATAGAGAGTTTTCAGTAAATATTTGTTGATTGTATGAATGACTATAAAAGTGTCAAGTGGGCTTGAAGCTCACCTAAAAATTTCTCTGTGTTCAGCTATTTCATAGAAATTTATTCTAATAATTTCCTCAATGTCTACACTCAAGCATCTCAAGTAGTCAAAAGGAAGTCCATTTAGAGACCTAAATCACCCATCTCTATGTCTATAAAATATTGAAGAACAATTGGAGTCTGTGTTCCAAGACAAGTGCTCCTTTTTTTTTATTTTTTCAAAACTTGCTATATGTGGACAGATTTTGTGATGAAATGTTCAAAAATCAAAAATCACAAACATTTAAAAAATATTTCCTTGCTATTGCAAGGAATTTATATAATCTAGATGTTTTGTACATACAATTAGAAAAGTCAGAAAATGTAGTTTACCTCTTAAGTCATGAGAAAATAATGAGTGCCAAAAAATCTTAAATTCTTTTTGAGAAGTAAAATAATTATCCATTTTGGGGCTTATAATCTAAGGCATCATTCTTTTTTCTCCTGATTAATACCTGATTGCTCTGACAAAATAATAGAAATTCTACTACAACAGATGGATAAATTTTAAGAATGTAAGTACATGGAAATATATACTACTACTTTATTCGTTTGTCATCTTTCACCTTGGAAAGTAAAAACTGAAAACTAAGGGAAAGGATCACAGAGAGCAGGAAGTGAAATAGGTCTACAATTAAAGATGCTGCTAAGGATGGTTGGTACATAAAATACAATTTTGACAGAGAGCAGGAAGTGAAATAGGTCTACAGTTAAAGATGCTGCTAAGGCTGGTTGGTACATAAAATAAATATATTGCACTTACTGGTAATGCCTGAGTTGATCCTAGAAGACAAAACAGTAGAATCGTAGTCTTCATGTTTCAAATTGCTACCTATAACAACAAAATAGGGTCACTCTTTCACTCCATTTTTTTTTCCTATTGAGAGATGATACTTAAAAAACTGTTTTATTTGAAGCATGGTCAATTAATGTTACCTTTCTCTCCACTAGACAAAATGTACAGGTGGAATGATCTTCAAAGTCCAGTTGATTTCTTGTTTTTGTGATGAAAAATTTTATCCTTTGATGAGGTTTGAGTTTGTAGAAGGAATTTAAACTCAACTCCAGGAGGCTGGAAACTGAAAGACCAATCAGGACATAGCTGTCTGTGAAATCATTTGGTTTCTTTCATTTCCCAACACTTCATTAGGTGAGTTATTAGCTGCAGACAGCATATTACTCAATGTCTACCATTTGAATAGAGGGTATTTCAGGAAGACGTGCCTTGTGTAATTAAGAAAAGTAAAGACAATTAAAAAAAAATTAAAATCCCTCTTCATCTCCATCTCCTTCCTTAAATGACCTCTCAGATGTACTTGTCTTGTCATATATGTACGAGCATATAAATCAAACATCAAAATATGATGTATGTTAAAAAAATGAGGCCTATTATGTATATTGCTCTACAAGTTACTTTGTTTACTTAACAACAAATGAACAACTTTACATGTCAGAACATATAGATTTATTTCATTTACTTGATGGTTATATTATATTACATTTCCTTTTGATGGATTTCTAATTCATTTCCATTTTATTTTATAATTATAAAAGTGATACAGTTAATATCCTTATAAATTGCTTTCACACATATGGGAGTATTTCTGTAGGTATTATTTTTAGAAGTACTGTATTAAAGAATACCTACTTTTTAAATTTCAGTAAATATGATGGGAAATACAACGGTTAACAAGTAATTATGTGTTGATAAGTACAATGCCAGGGGTATACAGAGATACAAAGAGAAGCGTGGTTAATTTTGTTGGGGGCAGAAAGGTAAAGATGGCTTACAGAAGGGGTGACCCGTGAGCTGGATTTTGAAGAATAAGAAGAAATTGATTAAGAACTCAAGGAGAGCATCCAGGCAGACCAAGTGTCTAGATTTGAAAGAGTGGTGTTATTGTTCCCTACCACTGGAACAAAATGGGGTGAGGGTAGCAGTAGAAAACAAGGTTGAAGAGGTATCTAATTTTAATAACCTGTAGTATTTTTGTTTGTTTGTTTCTATTACTCATTTTGGCTCTTGATCAGACATTATCTTATATGGCTCCTTCATTATTTCTCTGTTGAATGTTTTCCTTGAGCTAGATGGGGAGTTTTTGAGCTCTTGTTTTATATTCTTTTGTGTCTTTGATATTAATAACATTAACATTGCAAAGCACCAGATGATCACTGCCTGTTGAATAAATGGTAGGTGTATATACTCTGTGGAGTTGGAGTAAGGTTGAGTTGAGGGAAGGCTACAGAGAGAGAGATGAGGTTTTAAGTGGATTTGAAGAGGAAACATGAGTGATGGAGCAGAGAATAGCGTGGTAAACGGGGGTGAGTATTAAGAGGAGCAATGAAACAAAGAGCTGAAGGATTTGGAAGGGAAGCAACTTTATTTATTCTCTCACAAGCTTTCATAGATATATTCATTCATTCTTTTATATAGTCAATTCTTCCAACCCATTATTTAACATATATTCACTCTTGCATTGTTTTGGTCCTTTGGAATAAAGCAGTGAGTGGTGGAAAGGACAAAAATCTCTGCCTTCATGGAGCTTACATTTTGGTGAGGGGACTATTAACTATTCAAGCCTCATTGTGTGGGAGTGAGCCTGTGGCTCTGGGGAGCCCGCTTTCCTGTAGGCATTATTTTCAATGAAAGTTAACAGAGAGGGGCTTCCTTCATTTTTTTTTTTTCTTTTTGGTGGAAGCAGAGTTGAATTTTAGGCCAATGTTGTTCCTGGGTATAGGTGAGGAGACTTGTATTCTATTGCCAGCCTAAAGTACAATGCTGGTGAACAGCTCATTCGAACTGAATCACTGTTTGTGACTGTCTGGGCATCAGGTGATTCAGGGACCGGCAGTGCATAGATTGTGTGTTGCAGACATGCCTCCAACCCCAAGCTGGAATGGGACACACCCTAGCTCAGAAACTGAGCAGTCAGTGGGATTTGACTAAAATAAACAAGGGAAATTAAGAAGGATGAGTAATTTCTTAGACAAGAAATTTTAAGTCTGAAAGCAGATAACTTGTAATAATATAATTATGGAGTTGGGTGTCAAGAAATATATACTATAAAAGGGAAAAAATTCCTAAATCATTCTAAAACTAAGAGACATCAGCAAAAACAGTGAGATAATTTATTTTTCTGCAATGATTTAGAATATCAGGATTCATTAAAGTGTTTTAGGAACTATAGGTGATATCTCTTAGCCCTGTAGGTCTAGACATTTCTTGGTCTTTCATGTTGGTTTTAGTTTTAAATTTCTTTGAGTTATGGACCCTTTTGAGAATTCAATTGAATTTATACATCATCTCCTCAGAAAAATGTAAACATGTCCATGAACACAATGTGTATTAAACAACTTTAAGAGTTTTATAGATTGTGGTAACATTGTATTCTATTTATGCAGAAAAATTTCAACTCAATATTAGAACTACACACATATGTATTAAAAGAATAAGCTTGGCTATAGATGATTTTTCAAGACGTGAAAGAATGTCCTGCAAATGGCAACAGAAGAAGATGCTGAGGGGAGGGATGAGAGATGCAATACTAGAGTAAGAGATTAACTCATGATTTCAGTGATGTGATGGTTTAGATAAGGTTCTGGAAAGGTGTTGAGAATTTATGTAGTTTCAGAGTCAATAAAGACAATACTGACAATTGGATAGTTACTTTCAGTTTTGTAATCTGGAAAATATATAGTTTCAGAGTCAAATGGAAGATCAGTAAATGATTCTGTGGTGCCATAGGAGATTCTGTGTTACAGTTAGATGTAGACTCAGTGTAAATTTGGGTGTCACCATAGGGAGATGCTTTTGTTTCAAAATAATAGTTGTAGGTGCTAGCTTCTAGGATGTTATAGGATGAGTGGTTTATTTTATAGTTATAGTAGATGTTAATGTGAAACTTATAATTGGAGCTGGAGTAGCAGATGTGGTGGTGGTGGTAGAAGTTGCTTTAGAAGTAGTGATAGCAAGGGCAATGGAAGTTATAGTAGTGATTTGTGTTTGAGGGTGAGAGCTTGAAAATAAAAATATCTGGATATGGGTTTGGATAGAAGAATACAGATGGAAACAATTATTTTGATTAGAATGAGTTTGTCCAAGTCTTTTGTTGATATGTGGATTTAGATGAAATTGGTGTAATCATATATTTTTTGAGATAAAATTGGATAAAATTGAGGTAAGTGAATTTTTTATGAATAGCACATTTTAGAAAATATTTTGGTAGATGAGATTTTGATTGACTATGGTGTTTTGTATGTGTTTTTGAAGAGCAAGCTCATAATTGAATAGTTTTTTTTTAAGCATTTTATTTTATTTTATTATTAGTTTCAAATATACAGTACATTGGTTAGACATGTATATAGTTTGTGAAATGATCTCCCTGATTACACTATCACCCCTCTGGCTCTCCACTTAGCCATTACATTACTGCTGACTGCATTCCCTATGCTGTACTTTCCATCCCCATGACCATTTCTCAACTACTAGTTTGTACTTCTTTAGCCTTTCACCCTTTCTCCCAGCCCCGCAAACCCCTCTCCTCTGGCAGTCATCAGATTGACCTCTGCTCTGTATTTGTGAATCTGTTTTGATTAGTTCTTCTTATTTCTTAAATTCTGCATATAAGTGAAATCATATGATATTTGTCTTTTTCTGACTTATTTCACTCAGCATAATAGCTTCTAGGTCCATCCATGTTGTTGCAAATGGTAGGATTTCAACTTTTTATGGCTGATTAATATTCCATTTTATATATGAACCATAATTTCTTTATCCAATCGTCTGTTGAGGGCATTTACGTTGCTTCCACATCTTGGCTATTGTAAATTGTGCTACCATGAATATTGGGGTGCATAGATCTTTATGAATTATTGTTTTGGT